TGTCTGACTACTTTCATAAACTACTGTTAGGGCACAGAATTATTCTGTCTGGTGCTTTCAGCGCTGCACAGATGTTACGTAAATCTTAAAAATATAGCTTACCGCAACTTTTGCAAAGTTCCCGTTGCCACCGGGCGGCTGCAGCAGAGACGATCTCTGAAAAATGTCCGCGACACGGACTCCGTTGTTGTCTGGAAGTTTGTTTTTCAAGTTAAGAAAAGAGGCGGAAGTGTTTCCTAAATCCTGCATCAGTCCAAGCAAGGCAACTTCTTTCTGTTTTTATTCCGTTTTAGTAGCCATTAGCACTGTGCATTGTTGTGTGCCTCAGTGATATTCAGTCTACGAGGAAATCGTGCAATGACAAAAGTTCCGCTGTGCTTGAAATGCAAGCTGCGATTAAATGCGTTAATTTTTTTAACGCGTTATTTTTTCTAATTAATTAATCGGAATTAACGTGTTAAAGTCCCGGCCCTAGTTTTTATTAAAGCAGAGGCAGAACCGAATAATACATGGAATTAGAAATGTGATCGGTCACTCCGAGTTTCACGTAAAGGCTGAACGTGAAAGTAGTTTTCATCCCCTATTTCCTGCATTAACCACCAACAGAATGTGTGTGTGTGTGTGTGTGTGTGTGTGATGCATATAAAAGCTGTTTTTAGTTAATGGAAGGAAAAAACCCACTCACCTCAATGACACGAGAATCAAAGTCCTCAAATGTTTCTGTTCACAAAGAAAAAAAGAATCTTTAGAATACTAACATATTTCAGACCCCCCCCCCCCACCCGAAAGATGTTACTCCATAACAGCAGCCTCCTCACTTCAAACCAATTAGCAACAAAAGCTGAATTAAAGCAAAAGCTCTGAGAGGAAAAACATCAAACACACACACACGCATCTCAGCTGGGACATTAACCAGCCATCTGTACCAAACCCACCCTGATCAGAGACAAGCAGCAGTGTTACAGCTGTCTGCACATCACAACTGCTGTTAGTGGATTTTAGGTGCACAAGTATATGAAGGTAAGGGAGCTTGTTTAAGGGGGAAATGAAAGAGGGAAAGAAAACAAAGAAGAGAGCAGAGAGTAAATAAATACGAAGCCTCGTTTAGGCTCAATCCAATTCCAGCAAAGAGCGAGGTTTAAACGTGTAATGAGGCAGAGGACAGGAGGCCAGCAGCAGATCCACCAGTGAATGAGCCTGAATTAGCTCCTGGTGGCTGTCACACTGCTGCTGAGGAACAAGTCACATCAGACTGTTTTCACTACGTCAGATGTGTCTTTTTTTCGGGCCAAACTTTAAAAGCCTAAAAAAAAAAAAAAAAACCTCAAAAATTACAAAAATAACAAACCACTGGAATCTGTCAATTGTAACAGTTCATTTTAAATTGTAATTAATTGGAATTGGCCTAAAATCTCCATCAGCAGGTTAGAGGTGTGCAAGAAGCAGAAATCGGTATCGGCCTTCAAATCCAGATTCGGTGCATTTGAGACCATCCTTTAATGTTTGTGAAGGATGGCGCTTTAACCGTTCTTGCAATGTCACATTGTCTCATGTTACTTATTAGAGCTCAGAGTGTGTGTTGTGAATGACCCTCAGCGACCAAGACACCAGAGAACAGCTCAGCATCTGTAAAACTCACTGAGTTACAGCCATGTTTGTGTTTTCTACCAGATGTGTAATGGTTGTGTAACATCTGCAAACTGTAACACACACAGCTAACAGCCGCCGTTACAGTGGCCAGGTGTGTTTCCACCGATCACAAAGCATTACGTCTCTGACGCGTCTCCGAGGTGTAGCATCACTTCAGCTCAGTAGTTCAGATCAGGCCAGACAGGAAGTCAAACACGGGAGCAGAGTAAGTCATCCCGCAACTTTCAAAATAAAAGAAACATGTGGATTTACAGATCGATGAATGACTGTTGTTTTATAAAGCGCCTTGGGGGGTTATAACATCCTAGAAGGTGCTTTATAAAAACAGAATCCTAGAAAATCTGAAATCGCTAATGCAAGAAAAAGAAGGAGGGTAAGAACTAGTTCAGATCATCACAGGAAGTGAGAAACGCCTTTTCTATATCAGGAAATGAATCCACTTGACATTTGAATCGAAGCCTCACCTTCATCACTACTAATGGGCTCCTATACTGACCTGTCACTCTTACCCTCCTGCACACAGCGGCCCAGACCTCATTATGTTGCTGCTCCACCCCCCCACCCCCCTCCACACACACACACACACACACACCCACACACAGTCATCCTTACGTCCTCCTGGGCCGTTCGGTTTATCTGACAGAGTGAGCGATGCCTTTCAGGCCTTTTGTGTCATAATCTTTACTCACTGTCGATCCTCCGGGCCGGGCCGCGTTTTATAACATGTCTGAGTTAGTTTTTTATTTTTAAAGTAAAAATAAAGTCATGGCTTCACACACGACCGGACACCTTATATTTTATATTTAGTGAACATTAGTGATTTACCTCCATTGGGTCCAGGGTCAGGTGGGCCCAGGCTGATGCCGCCCCAGGAGTTCCCCGTCCAACCTCTCTGCCTCTTCACCTTCATCCTCTTCTTTTTTTCCCACTCATCCCTCTGACGCACTGCAGGAGGTCAAAGAATAAAACTGAACTTATTCCTGAGGAGCACAACAGGACAAAAGTGCTCTTTGTCGTCGAAAAATGAGGCGTGTAATTGCTGCTAACAGATGAGATTGCAGTGGAAACAAATGGGCAGCTTCTCACACCAGTGGTGGTTCAATTTCTCTAAATTAATACCTCGTTTCCCCCTGCAGTTTTTTCCTGGTGTTTCATGAAAAGGTAATTTCTTTCACAGCAAACGGTTTCTCCTTGGCTTTGCTTAAATTCCCAGATGACTGGCTGACAGATATGATATTTAATTACAGCATCTGGGGTAAAAGATCTGGGTTTTGGTTGGTGATCCTGGGCTGACGTTTTTACCTGTTTATCTGCAGACGTGACTAAAGCATTTACCTAATTCAGCTTGGACTTCCTGTTGCTCCACCTCACTTCTTCGGCTCACGCTCTGCACAGAACCTTCCTTAAGCACGGGAGCATTCAGGCCAGGCCACAGAAAACCACCACGACCTGTTTAAGAAGACGAACATTAAGGGAAGGACAAAGACGAGGACAACATTAAAACAGATGCAGTTATTTTTTAATCAAAGCACAAATCTTTTTAACTCATTTTAAAGATAAATTTAAAGGTTTTCAGATAGAAGCCATGAAGTAGAGCTGATGAATATCAAGCTAAAAGAAGAGGGCGGCACAGGCATGGAGAACCCATTCAGGGAAAAATTATGAAAATGACTCAAACTGATATAACAAGAGCAGCGTGAATGAAGAGTAATTACCTCTATTAGCTGAGCAGTTCACTAAATTCATCAAAACTTTTGTTCTTTTTTTGATGTGTGATGTCCACTAGCTACTTTATTGAGATACACAAGCACCAACTAGTGCCGAAACCCTTTTGATAAAAGAAATCTAAAGTCATGTTTTGGAAATGATTTTTCAGTTCATCCCAACACAACAGACGTTTTCACCTTCGCCAATAAACTGTCCTCGGTTCAGGTCTCTCTTCAGTTTGCGTTTTGTTCGCTTCCCTCTGCCCTTCCTGGCGCCGGCGCCGGATTCTGCCAGAACACCCCTCCACAACTCCTCTGCTGTCACTGCAAAAAACACACAGACATGTAAAACTATAAAAAAATAATGCTTGTAATTAATTATTCACTGTATACATGAGAAGAAAACTACTTGTTGCTAGGGATGTCCCGATACAACATTTCACTTCCGATACGATACCAATATTGCAGCTTTCAGTATTGACCGATATCGATGTCAATCCAATACGATATCAGCCCAAATATCGTACATACTTTTACCTATTCCATAGTGTGGAAGGTATGAAAGGCTTGATCAAGTGATATTACTCAATTGGAGAACAAGAGCCAATAACATTAAGTATGAAAAAAAAAGACAAATTTTGTTTAACCAATGGTTGCAATGATGTGAACCTTAACGGACTGCTAATGTCGGAGATTTTTGATACAGTACGATATAATCCGATACACTGGTTTTGGGCCGATATCAAATACTTTCGATATTGATATCGGAACAGGACATCCCTAATTGTTGCAATGCAAAAGTCCCCTTAAAATACAATAACATATCTAGATTTGTTTATTTCTGAAAGGTCTTTTGCTTTATAATTGTGTGTGTAGGTGGCAGAGAGCAAGCGACGGTATGGATGTGACTTTATTCAAAGATTAACAGTAAAAAAAACTTCACCGTAACAAATACATACAAAAATGTTTTATATTTTATTTTTGAATATTTGTACAGAATTATAATTCAGTATGTGTTACACTTAAAATATACCCCAAAACATTACTAGGAATTCAGGAAGAGCGAACCTGTAACTGATGAAAATACATTTAAACAAAGAGGAATTTGTCTCTGGAATAAACTACCACCAGCTCTTTGGTCTACAACTGTGACAGTTACGGCCATGTTAATATTAAATTAGAGGTGTGACGAAGTCACTGCTTTTCAAGTCACAAGTCTTTCCAGTCAAGTCTCGAGTCAAAGACAACCAAGTCCAAGACAAGTCCAAAGACAATGATGTGGAAGTCAAAGTAAAGCCCAAGTCTTTAACTTTGAATTTTCAATTCATAATCAAGTCATCTGTCAAACTTTAATTTAATGACGATGATAATAAATAAATCCCAGAATTAAAGCTTCTTAAAGGTTCATTTATTTGCTCAAACAAGCAGAAAGTGCAACTGAAACAGATTATAAACAAAGTGCTGCTGCATTTAGCAGAACAAGATAAAACCCAGAACGAAGAACCACTTATGATTTTTGCCCACGTCGTGCCACTTTTGTGCTAAAATATCAAATATGCTCAAGTCATCATCAAATCAACAGATGCAAGTCGATTCAAGTCGCAAGTCATTGGCGTTCATGTCCAAATCAAGTCGTAAGTCTTTATAGATTTAATCAAGTTAAGTCAGAAGTCATTAAAATAATGACTCTAGTCCAAGTCATGTGACTCAAGTCCACACCTCTGTATTAAATAGTATATGATTTGCATAATGTCTGATTTTTTTGTAAAGTATTGTCTGCGACTCGTCTGTTGCTGCTACAAAAATTACTGTATAAATATATAAAATACATTATTATTCATTCAATTATGTCATAGAGGAGGTGGTTTCATAAGATACTACAGTCCTGCAGTATTTTTAAATTTTTTGTATACTGTTTATTATGTTTGTGTGCAAATAAATAACTAAATAAAAAAAATATCAAACATGGGAATGCTTTTTGGACCGGAACAATGAGGCATCAAGAACCTAAATTACATACAAAACCCAGTTTAGGACCAACAGTCTATCTATACAACAAAACATGTCTGCAGAAGTGTGTAAAACCTACAGAACAAACATAAAGTGGCTGAATAAAGTAAATATTTACAACTGCAGACATATGATCCCAGAGTCTATGTAACGTGACAGGTTGCTGGTGTTTGTGTTGTCTTGTGCTCCCAATGCAAACTGTGAGTCAGACCTCTGCCTGCACACGAGTAAGCCTGAAAACTAAGGAGCCATTAACGTGGGCAGGATGTGAAGCAGAGAAAAATTCTGCCATCAGTCCAACATGCTGTCCAAAGATCAGCATGCATGCACCTGCTTTATTGAGGAGAGGAATCACCTGCCACCTGGTTTCTACAGGTGAGTTAGGATCATCAGCCTCAGAAATACTAAACTGTGACACAAAACAGTAAAAAAAATTACTCACCACCACAGCTCACAAAACATGTTTAAGTTTATTTATTTGGCAGATGCTTTTATCCAAAGCAACGTACAATTGTCAACCTATAGGGCATGTTGTGATCTGTGGGGGAAAGCGGAGTACCTGGAGGAGACCCACACATGCATGGGGAGAACATGCAACTCCACGCAGAAAGGCTGCAGCCAGTTTTCAAACCTGCAACCTTCTTGCTGCAAGGCAACAGTGCTAACAACTGCACCACCATGCAGCCCACATACCAGCATACAGCTATACAAATACTAGAAATATCTGCTATTTTATTTTTGCTGTTGCATGCTGTTTAAAAATATATGTTTTCTATTTCAGTGATAGAGTATTTATTTTCTGTTCCCTCACTATAGTAGCTGGTCCGTAACTCCAGTAGTCACTGGTGAGAAATGGGGGAGACACCCTGGACTGGCTGCCAGTCCACCACAGGGACACACAACCATTCACACACTCAGGAACAATTTAGAGTCACCAGTTAACCTGACATGCATGTTTTTGGTCTGTAGGAGGAAACCAGAGCACCCATACCCACACATGCATGAGGACAACATAGGCATGCAGCAATACGCTTTTCATTGGTCTTTTATGTATTTATCTTTGAGCTGTTCCCTTTGTGTGTGTGTGTGTGTGTGTGTGTGTGTGTGTGTGTGTGTGTGTGATGCCTGTTTTGTTTTATTTGATGGAGACACATTTTCACAATATTTTAAGTAAAACTGAAAATGCATATTTGATCTTATAGTCTGTCATTTTATTTGTATCCAAAAGATAAAATCGATGGCGTGAAAGGTCCGTTTTTCTGCTCATACTCTGTAAATCTGTGCCATCATCTCATTGGTAAATATAACAATTTCAGTCTGTGCTTTTACAAGTAGAATCTGTTTCTATTTTGCAAGTTTTAGATGAGAGGAATTGTGGTTAAAATGGTCTTTAGACTCACACTTGTTGAAGAAGCTGCCCTGTCTGGTCTGCTGCCATGTTGTTGATGGAAATGTGAGGTTTCTCGGCAGAGAAGCAGCTGAAGCTCGGCTCGAAACTTGAGAAACTTGAAACAATCCCACTGCAGTTCGAAGTGATGCCGCACCTGAATGAGACACAATAACACAAGTGCTGTTAACATGGGGCCGTTTCACAGGATCTAAGCTTGCAGTAGTCATACAGCTCTGGTTATTCATTTATAGTTTATCCATCAATGCAACTGATTACCCAAAACAATCTGCAAGAGATGTATCTGTCTTTTAAAAATAACACTTCCTTGTTCCCTAAAAACATTTCCTAAAGTAAATCTTAGTGATCACGTCACACTTCATAAAGGGACATTTTTTCAGCTTTTGTAGAAACCAATTTGATCATTAAGCTAGGCTAAAAAATACTTCGAAATTGATTATGCAATTTAAGATCCTCATAATTCCTACTAAACATTGTTTTCACAACACACACGCATAAATAACGATAACCAACAAAACCGATAGAAACTAACACTTATTCCTCTCAAAAACATATTCGACACCAAAGGATTATAACTTGTGGTTTAGGGGCAGCAGGACACACAGCCAATCATAACCGAACAGAAACGCATCTCTAATGAGTCCCAACACACTCCAGTGTACAAACCGACCTGTGATGTTAAAGCTCTGGATGATAAAAACGGACATAAATTACCTCCTAATGTAACGCGGAGGACACCGCACACCCGTATGGACGCCGCCATGTTGGAATCATGAAGGGTCCTTCCGCGGACAACATGGTGACTATTGTGTGCCTGCTGAAAAACAAACCAAAGAAGAAGTTAATATAATAATAATAATAATAATAATAATAATAATAATAATAATAATAATAATAATAATCAAGTCATCAAAGAGTTATTGCATATTACAAAGGCTGTTGTCAGGAAGGATCTCCAGTAGCGGTCAGTGTTGCAGCGATACTGAAAAAGCCTCTGACTGAAGACACTCTTCCGTTGTCGGACAGTCTTGTGACGAGAATGCTCAGGGTTGTCCATAATTTTCTTGATTCTCTGGAGAATCCTTCTTTGCATGATCTCCTCCAGTGGTTCCACAGTCGTCCCCAGAACAGAACCAGCCTTTTTTATTAGGCTGTTGAGCCGTTTCAGGTCTCTGCTTCTGATGCTACTACCCCAACAGACGATGGCTGAAGAGATTACACTCTCAACAACAGACTTGTAGAAGATGTGCAGCATCTTGCTACAGACATACAAGGACCTAAGCGTCCTCAAGAAGTGCAGTCTGCTGTCTCCCTTCTTGTAAACGGCTTCGCTGTTCTTTCTCCAGTCCAGTCTGTGGTCCAGGTGAACTCCAGAGTATTTGTATTCCTCAACCACCTCCACTTCTTCTCCCATGATGGAAACACTGTTTAACTCCACCCTGTTTCTTCTGAAGTCTAAATTTATCTCCTTTGTTTTGTTCACGTTCAAGGTCAGATGATTGTTTCCGCACCATTCCGCAAAGCTCTCCACCAGCTCTCTGTACTCAGCTTCCTGTCCATCTCTGATACACCCGAAAACTGCAGAGTCATCTGAATATTTCTGAAGATGACTGGTCTCTGATTTGTACTGGAAGTCTGAGGTGTACAGGGTGAAAAGGAATGGTGAGAGTACAGTCCCCTGTGGTGCTCCAATGTTACTGATCGCCTGGTTTGATGTGCAGTTCTTCAGTCTCACAAACTGTGGTCTGTTTGTCAGGTAGTCTTTAATCCAGGCGATAGTTGAGGCCCCCACCTGTGTCTTCTGGAGTTTCTGGCAAAGTACATCAGGCTGAATTGTGTTAAATGCACTGGAGAAATCAAAGAACATGACCCTCACAGTGCTGCCTGCTTTGTCCAGCTGACAGTGGATTGGTTGAAGCAGCTGGATGATGGCATCTTCAACTCCAACTCCATGGCGATAAGCAAACTGCAGCGGGTCCTGATATGTTCTAGTTTGCTTATTCAGGTGGACCAACAGGAGTCTCTCCAGGACCTTCATGATGTGGGATGTCAGGGCAACCGGTCTGTAGTCATCATTGACTGATGGGCGAGTTTTCTTTGGAACTGGAACAAGGCAGGATGTCTTCCACAGGACTGGAACCTTCTCCTGGGCCAGGCTGAGGTTGAAGAGGTGCTGCAGAATCCCACAGAGCTGCTCTGCACAGGCCTTCAGTACTCTGGGGCTGACACCATCTGGACCTGCAGCCTTGTTCCTGTTCAGTCTCTCCAGCTGCCTCTTCAACTGACATCTAGAGACAGATAGGTGTGTGTGTGGGGGGGGGGGGGGGGGGGGGGGGCAGCATCTCTTGACTTGGTTGAAGACAGATTTACAGATCCAGAAGAGTCCATGACTGCGTTAGTGGACAACACACATACACACACACACACACATACACACACACACACACACACACACACACACACACACACACACACACACACACACACACACATATGATGGAATTGATTTCTCAGAGAGAAAAATACAACAGTTCTAGAGAAAAACTTCAAATAATCAATAAGTTGATTTAGCATCTTTTGACAGTTTTACATTAATCCATACTCAAAAACGTTTTATTCTCATCACATTTTTAACAGTAACACCACAGAACATTGTTTATTGTTGCCTGTTTTCCAACGACCCTAAATTGTTGCTTTTTCTTTCAGGTCCTACAATTTCTACTGATTCGTTTAGCTGTGATTGGGAAGTTTCTCAATGTCATTTTAATAAATGAGTTGCATCAGTAGATATCAGAGGCTCTGCATATTTTCAGCATTGATTAATTTTCCCTTTTCTGAGTAAATAACCAGTAGGAAAGAAACAAAATTCTGAAAGAAACCCCCAAGATTTAGCTGAACGGTTGCACGTGGAAAACTCCCACAAAGAATTACTTATTTTATCTGATATCACATTAAAATGCAGAGAGCATCGTAAATGTAATTTGAGGAGGAGATGCAAGAGAAAGGTGAAGTCAATAGGGAAATAGAGAGAGGAGGAAAAGGAGGGAACACTCAGGAGCTAAGATAGGATAATGGAATTCTGAATAATGCTGATGATGCACATAGATTATGGATAGGAATAAATTTACAGGGAGGAGAAGCTGGAGAAAACCGACATTGTGACATATAATAGATATGGTTAAAAGGAGCTCATGCAGAAAGAGACACTCATCACTGCAGGAGGTGGTTAAAGGAGAAAGAAGATTTTAAAAACACAGCTTAATAAGTTTTACCAGAGTCTAAAAGAAAATATATATATGTTTTTGATTCCCATTCAGCTGAAATGACACCAGTTTGGATTTTCTAAACAATCGATTAATCACAAGATTACAAGCCATTTATGGGCCATTCCCATCTGTATCGGGTCGGCCCGGGCCGGGTAGCGTAGGTTGTTTACATATCTGGGTGGCCTGGTATTTTTCCGGGCCAACCAAGGCTCATTCTCAGCCCTCTTCTCGAGGGGGTCTGCTTCAGGCCGACCAGGGCCAACACACCCACTGCTGACAGCAAATTCACACCTTCCATTAGAGCAAGCCTCTGATTGGTGGGTAGAATCAGCCCACATGGGCTTAAGACAAGGATGTGTGGAATCAACCGGGCCAGGCTGGGGCCGACTGGGGCTACCCGGCCCGGGCCGACCCGGTACAGATGGGAATGGCCCATTAGAATCTGCTGCAACATCAAAGGCTTTTCCATCAATATAAAATAAAACTATGTTACGCAAAAAAGCCTGGGGAATGATGTCTTCCTATCTCGTAAAATTAAGATTTCAAGTTTGCACAAATACAGTGAAGCACATTTAAATGAATGTTTTGGTATTAATTTAACATTGTTACAATTAATAAATTGTATGTTTCCTGGATATTCTGCAAGATATTTCATTCATTTGGTGTTTATTTTTTTGTTTAAACTAATTTCAAATACAGTTTTAGACAAACTGTATCATTAATACAGATCTGCGTGTTTGTTGGGCGTTATGAACAATTTTACGCATTGTGTGTACTTACCTTTTTTACTTATGTATAAAAACATTTCCTGCAGGGGTGTCGAACTCAAATTCCCACTGGGCCAAAATGATAAACTGGGACAAAGTTGCGGGCCAAACTCAATATTTTTTAAAAAGTGACGGCAAATGTGCACATTTTTCTTTAACTACAGAAAAGAACGGTTGGACCTTTTCATTTTTGCAGTAGCACTGAATGTGGAATAACCAAATTACACACGAGCAAGTCCATTTTAAATAAGGCACACATCAGTGGTATTCGTTACTTATGTTTACATTTTTTATTTTATTTTATTCCTTAAAATGTTCATATATTCAGCATTTCTTCTTATTTTTTTATCTTTTGAATCTTTTAAGTGGTTTTATGATGTAAAGCAGGCCAAATCATTGGAAACCTTTAAAAGCAGACTAAAAACACATCTGTTCTCGCTGGCGTTTGGACATTGAAGTTGGGGGAAGTAGGCCGGATATGGATTGCGAACTTGCACTCAGGATTTCTTATTGTATTTTAAATGGATTTCTTATTGTATTTTAAATGGATTTCTTATTGTATTTCTAATGGATTGCTCATTGTATTTTAAATGGTTATATGTCTGTCCTATTGTGGTGCTTTTTATTGGTGTACAGCGCTTTGTTTGTCCATTTTGGCCATGTTGTGAAAGCACTTTATTAATAAAGTTGATTTGATTTGATATTTTATGTTTTCTTGTTTATTCTTTATTTTTTACTCTCCTTTGTTGCTCCTGTAATGAATGTTATTGCTGCTGTGACACCAAGCTTTCCCCACTGAGAGACAATAAAGGGATTTTCTATTTTATTTCTACTTCTATTCATCGATCTGTAACATGTCCTGTTTTAAAGTAGGGGAATTTTTTTTCACAGGCCAACAACATAAATAAAAAATAGAAATTCTCTTAAATGAAAATGCAATATCTCACCTATTAACTTTCATGCTTTGGAGCAGAAAAGGTTAATAAAAGCAAAATAATTCAATCCCAGTTTTCTCCACTCTGATTTCCTGTGATGCTCACCTGTTCCAGCCAGACCTGCATCTGTGGGGTTGGGCTCTGAGCTGAGGAAGGAGTTCTTCAGTGAGAAATATTTGCTCACACAGGTTTGTGCTGCTGGACATGGAGACCATCTGGACCACACAGTTGTGTCGGGGAGGGGGATAAAAGCTGCAGCAGCCACAGAGTCATAGTGACTTGAGCGTGTCACTAAACTGGAGTTAAATCATCTCGGTCTGGAAGCTGGTCGGTGCGCTTTCTATATCAGCAGCAAACAGATTATTGAGCTGTTAAAATCCATTTCTGGGCTTCAAAGTCGGCTAATTGCAGAGTAAACGTGGCGCTGAGTAAGAGGAGTGTTTTCAGTTTGTCCGAGGCAGAGGAGGTAACGCTGCAGACGCTGATGCTAGTAGCGTGGACGCTAACGACTGTTAAGACATAGACCCATCCAGCCATTTTCTTCCTCTTATCGCGGGGGCAGCAGCCTAGGTCAAGAGACCCAGACTTCCCTCTCCCCAGCCACTTGGGCGAGCTCTTTCGGGGGAACCCCAAGGCGTTCCATGGCCAGCTGAGAGACATAGTCCCTCCAACGTGTTCTGGGTCGACCTTTAGGCCTCCTCCCAGTTGGACTTGCCCGTAAAACCTCACCAGGGAGGCATTCGGGAGACATCCTGACCAGATGCTGGAGACACCTCAACTGGCTCCTCTCGATGTGGAGGAGAAACAGATCTACTTCAAGCCCCTCCCGGATGACTGAGCTTC